AGATCTGATGAATTCGGAACAGAGTATAGTGAAGATCGAATGAAACAAGGTGCACATGTACCCTGGTCACGTGATATAAAGTCAGTTGTGACTAGAGGAGGCACAACACCTCGTTGTCCTGTATAAAAAGGTCCAGTACACTGAGCCCGATTGCTCTCAATAACCTAAAAAAAGAATTGAAGGTATAAGTAAATCGTAAGTTAGGTCAAAATCAAAGATAGTGAACATTTATAACCAGGGGTAACAAAGCTTTATGGCAAGCTTATGAAATGAATAACACCACTGCGTGCTTTAATCAAACGTGTAGGTTCTTATTCACAAGCTGGACTAACCCAGTTTACAGGAATTACCTCACTTAAGACGTATGACAAATAATCCGGTTTTTAAAAAGTGCACTTTATTAAGCTATTAGAAATACGTATGTAAAAATAAATACCCAAACTAAGTGAATATAGCCCAGAATGAAGTTTACAACAGAAGAATAACCAACCTATACGCAACCACTAAAAGTTCACTATTCGATTTTGGAGTTGATTATAGGAAACACTGGACCTAGTATATTACACTCGGATTCACAGAACTTGAAGTAAAGTCGAAATATTAGTACATATTATGACAGACAGGTATAGATTCCATTTGCGACGACGAAGATCAGTTCTATATATATATATATATATATATATATATATATATATATATCAAAGTTGTTTTGCCATAAATCCGCTAGAACTAGTGAAATACCTTTAATATGAGACAGTTAAACCATCACAAAAAGTTATGAGCTACTGTCTGAGTCATTATTATGTAATGGTTGGTTATTTTAATTGACTTTTGACATCGTATTATTCTACTTTTATTGCCCAAATTATCTTGTTTATTTAAATTTTTACCAGAGAAATCAACTCTACTATTTTTGTCTCGATGTCTTGCTTCGATGAGGAAAGTGGCGACCCGATATGCACATGTTCAAATGATAACATTTATGTATTTAGTTTACTTAACTAAGCTCTTTTACAAATCGAATTGCCTAATGAAAAACCATGTTCTGTGTAGATCCTTACGCCAACCAATAAATGCACGGGGAACATGGTTGGCTATCTATACGAATATTCATCATCATTTGAACGCTAAGGTTATTCAAATACCAAACTCTGGAACGATTTCAAGTATATGTTTAGGAAATAATTGTTAGCTATTTGCAAACAAATAAGTTCTGAACACCTTAAGAAAAAATGTACAATAACAGGTCTAAATAGTGTTCCAACTATTGTGAGTTAAATGGGAGGGTGAAACAAGCTAGTTACGAGATGCCTGGTTTAGATTTAAGTAATGATAAATGAAAATTTTAAAATCACATTCCTATGTAAATTTGCCCCGGTATCCCCCACTTAGCGATATATATCACCACTATAAACGGGAAATTGTCTAAATGTTGATGGTACATGAGGCATAATAAACATGTTAGACCATGAGATTTACTAATAATTATAAAACAAAAACTATGAAATTTGAATACCTCGATAGGACTGGGTAATCTATCTGCATTTATACTTTGAGAGAACTGTGGTTGTCTGGATACTGGACCGTTTTGATATGCCTGTTGAGAATGTAATGTGTTTATCTGGGTGTTAGCACCATTTGGCAATGGAAACGGACCTGGAGGTTGAGGTTGTCGATAACTGGGTGGTGGAACTCCCTCATGTCCCGGAGGCATTGGTGGCATTGAAGGAAGACGCGGCTGCTGAGGACGTTGAACAAAATCCTGATGGTTTGGGATAGGAGGCATGGGTGGCAACGGTGGTTGATTCACACTCTGTATTGACTGAGCGGAATAATATGGAGGCTGAGATTGTGGTTGGAAGGTCTGTCCTTGATTTCCAGAATAGTAGTTAGGTGGTGGCTGGAAGCTGCTGTTAGGATGACCTTGCGGGTAAGTATCTGTCACATTTGAGTTAGAAGCACCATAAACGTGCTGACCAGGAACACCGGGGTACCCGTATTCTTTCTCTGGCTGCAACGACTGACGATTGTACATACTCTGACCATTTTGATTGTGTAACATTATCTGAACTTTAATGCATTAGGTAAAGGAGTCACCATAAAAGTGAACCAATAAACGAGAAAACCCTGTGACGTATTTCCTTTACGAACACAGCGGTAAATCCGTAGGACAAGATGTAGTGCGTTCAAACGACATAGACTATAAAAATAAGGAAACTTATTATTTGCACTAGTATCGCCCGCAAAGCTTACACTGTGTTTAGAAGAGATATGAAATTCGCTTAGCGGTAGTTGGGATGGACAGGGGGGTAAATTGCGCCTCGCGAGATTCGAACCCGAGACTGTTATTAAGTGTAAAACATTTCATATTTATGCACTGTATTGCATCGTCTTGACAATACCAAAAATTTTGAATTGCCTTTCATTTAAAACACACCTTATATGTTTATTGAATTCTCTGGTCTTATGAGCATTTTCATTAATTGACCATCATTAAAACGACCAATAAAATTGAGGTGTGTACTAAACTACCAATCAGGGTAGAGCATAAAGTTACTGCACACATAAAAAGCAGATAATAATTTTCAACTGCTCTAAGAAAAATTTTACTGAGAATAGCCTAATACGATATTTACAATACGGTAAAATGCTTAGAGGAAAAACATATAATGAAACAGTCACACGAAAAACAAAGTAGCATGAACAAAGAGACATTAAAATAGAATACGTAAATCGTTTATTCATTTGACATACACAACGGGAAAACCAAGGCCCCAATTTCAAAACGGAGAACAGCAATGCAATCACTCTTGATGGCAAAACTCTGGAAGATGTAGAATCTTTCACATACCTGGGAAGCATCATCGATGAATAAGGAGGTTCAGATGCAGACATAAAGGTGAGGATCGGCAAAGCAAGGACAGCATTCCTACAATTGAAGAACATATGGAACTCAAAACAACTTTCAACCAATATCAAAGTGAGAATCTTCAATACGAAAGTCAAGGGAGTTCTACTGTACGGAGCTGAAACTTGGAGAACTACAACAACCACCATCAAGAAGGTACAAGTATTTATAAATACCTGTCTACGCAACATACTCAACATACATTGGCCGGATGACATCAGCAACAGCCTTCTGTGGGAGAGGACAAACCAGCTTCCAGATGAAGAAGAAATTAGGAAAAGACGATAGAGATGGATAGGACATACCTTACGGAAATCATCACACTACATCACGAGGCAAGCCCTGACTTGGAATCCTGAAGGGAATCTGAAAAGTGGAAGGTCAAAGAGCACATTACGTCGTGAAATAAAAACAAATAGGAAAAGAATGAATCACAACTGGAAGTTGCTGGAGAGGATTGCCCAGGACAGGGTTGGATGGCGAATGCTGGTGAGCGACCTATGCTCCTTCGCGAGGAGTAACAGGCGTAAGTAAGTAAGTGTTTGTCATGACCTATGGTTGACTGCTGTGACTGCGTCACGTCACATGTAATATATATACAAAGATACGAGAAACATGTAATAAATCATCTGTGAGAAACAATAATTTTTATAAATGGAAAACGAAGATTTTATTTGCTAGTGATTGATTTGGTCGGTTTTATCAGACAAAATCAACCAAGAATACAGTCAGCAAATATGGGAGTCGCCATAATGTAGTGTAAGGCAAAAGTAAAACGGTTGTACAAAAACCAAGAACATTGGAGAGAGGTTAGAAACCCGAAGAAAAAACAAGGTATGTGTGAGCAAAGAGCACAAACCAGATAACGTGAAATACATGCCACGAAGAACAACCAAAAAGTATTCGGATTACGAAACAAACCCTCCTCAGCTCATTTAGATACTCTTAACCCACACCTATCATAATATGGGATCGTCAAAGGAATTTTCATGTAGTTCCCGAACTACGTTTATTTGTTGCACTTAATTTGTCTATTGATTAAACAATTGGTTGAATAACAAGGCAGCAATACTTGTCTAGGTAATGCTGTACACTTATATTTATAATGAAATCTAGAACCGTCATTTACTCAAACACCTTGTTTTGGTTCCAAATGAGCTATAGCGTGTACCTAAACTAACCTAGACAGTTATTTATCATTCCAAACTTATTTCGTCTGGAGGCTACAAGTATTGTAATGTTTTTTTCGATATAGACATCAAAGTGGCCACTCTACCCGGATACCAAGAAGCAGCAATCCATATTACGTTCTGATCTTGAGATGTGACTTAACATCATCCCCACTCAATTCAAGTTGACCGTGGACATCCAAATAGATCCCCTTCATTAGTAATCTACACACCAAATTTCTCATAGTTCTCACCAGATTAGATCAATGAAATGTTTCATTAGTAAGTCATACTCAAGAGGATGTCCATTCAAAGTGGAATGAGAAAAAGTCGCAAGAAACCCGTGCAATGTTATCGTCTTCAGAATCAATATGTTATGAAAATTTTGATAGAAAGCTATCGTGATGTAACTTTCGTGCCACTGAGTACCCCTCGTCTTATTGATAGGAGAAACCAGACTAGCCTTGAATAGGACGTTATTTAGATCGTGAGACAGAAAACAATGGAGCACGAGATTTTACAGCACTTGGCATAAAGTAATAGATTTAATGTTTATGTAAAACACGGAAGTGAATGAATACTTGAGCCATAATGTTTTGACATCACTAAGATGTTTATGGCTAAATCTTAATCAATTAACCTGAGTTCTTACAGAACTTCGCTCCTCGACCAAATTATCTTGACCTTTATTTTTTAGAGGAAACACGACATGAACAATACTTCCCTATAACTAATATCTCTCTCGAAATACCAGGGTTCAGATCCCAAAGAGCACAATTCTCCTATTCTACCAAAGTTGTAGTACTAATTTACAGAGGCTGATTGCTATTATTAATTATCATATACCTGAAGTCTAAATAAACACACTGATGATCACCTGTCATTGGATGTGAGGGATTGCGTCCTCAAACATCTTAAGGTACTAAATAGACGCGGTACTCTCAACTTGTGCGCCACTTGGTGTAGTTTCGGGTTTGTTCGTTACGTTATTTTTAAACTATGGGACTTGAAAGTGTGTATACTGTTTGATCACAAACTTAAATAACATCAAAACGTCATCTTTCCTGCGTTAAACAACCGCGTTAGAGAAAACTAGACAGTTCTATCCAAACTCCAACAATTAGGATAACACGTTTTATCTGTTTTTATCCAAACAATATGCATTTATGTTTATGTTCGGTCTCTACCAAAAAAACTGCTGATTAAATGGGCAGTTGTCCGATCGGATACTCTACTTGTCCAACACTCGGATGAAACACTATATATATATATATATATATATATATATATATATATATATATATATATATATATATATATATATATATATATAGTCTGTTTCATCCTAGTGGACTATAGTTCATTCAATTCTAAATGGACTTTGGGAATATTCTCAATATTCAGTACCATAGGTTGTTACTTAAGACATCATTAATGGTCTCTTCTGGGCGTTTTTTGGAAGTTTTAATTAAATGACTGAGATTCTTTAACAAGTTGGATAACTCTGCCAACCCACTAGTCATAATATTTGGACTTGTAATGAGCTGTTTCAGTAAAGTGAATTATTTTGGGCTTATCTGGTATTAAGTGCTATGCGTGTGCCATTCTAGACACTGTTGTCAAACAAGACTTGGCGAAACCCTGAAATATAAAAACTTGGCTTGCCAATGAAGACGAAAATTATGCAATTATATTTATTAGCATAATTGATTTGTATTTTTACTCACGCCTACTTTCTTTCTCTCTTTCTCTTTAATCCGATTTCTAACTGTTCTAAAATCGTGTCAACTGGTGTTATCAATATAGCTTAGGTACTTATGTGGTGTCAAGTTGTGTTAAATTAAAAAGGATAACCAAGTAAAATATGAAGTGAATGCAGAATCTAGCGAAACGATCCAGACAGATGATACATGGAATAAATATTGGAACTCATAACATTTCTTTAAACCGTCCAAAAACAAAATCTACAGATTGGATTGCCACTCGCCTCGTGAGTTTTACGTGATACCTTAGGTCAGTTAGTCTCATGACCTCTAAAATATTGCCCAGTGGTCCAACTGTCCAAGGTAATTGCTATAGCCACTAAGCTACCGCTTCACACTTAAGCTAGAGAGACTAAGGTGTTCTTGGGTCTGTCAAGCAACTGTTGAGTATCTTTATCCTTCAAATCCTAGTACATGGATATACCGGTGAAACTCTATTTTATGGGTGACCTTTAGACGTATTTTTAAGTGACCTTGAGAACGTTAGCCAATCAGAAGAGAGTTAGTATAAAATAAAAATATATTATAAAAAAGTGATGAATTACAATGGATATTCTTCTTTTACATGATTTAAAAACTTGTTGAGGTTTGATAAAGGTTCAGAAGTTTTGAAATCATAATGCATGCGGTATAAGAACTCTTCCATTTGACTCCATAATAATCGTCCTCTGGAGCCGTGGTAGGGTCTTAAAAAATACTTCAGCCTAGACCACATGCCCTCAATGTTGTTTGTATGGACTCCCGTCGTTGGATTAACAAAATGACGTTTGTGCACCACAACATGATGCAAAAAACCAAGTCTCGAGAGGCATCTATACGCTTTCCAATCATTGGTATAGATCGTCGTGGCAGGCTGAACGTACTCCTTGATGATTGGTATGATTGTCGTTACCTAACGGTTTCTTATTCTTTGAAAATGTTCTTTTTGAGTTGAACGATCGTAAAACCCAAGTACCTGTCAAGTATATTCACGGAAGTGTCACTTACCCAATCTTTGATAAAACGTCCTTTATTGTATTTTGGCTTTCTAACTAGCGCCTCATCTATTTCCACTATCTTTCCAGCTCCTCCAAATGATTCATGTACTCGTGTCATTTTCATTGCACATATATCACGACAATATTCATACTACGTAACATCTGCAAAAGCCGCAGCTAATGTTACTGGAGACTTTATGATCCAATTTGCAACGATTATCATGATTTGTCTAAGCCTTAGCCGTGACCGGGCAAAAAAATGCCAGTTCGAGCAGATTTTTTTCTCCAACATATTGTACAACGAAATACAATGTCATCGCAGTAGTCTGCACATCGTGCTGCGGTCATTTGATAGCCGCAGTCACAGACACAGGAACTTCTTAATAGTCCCATCTGCTGTAGTCTCTCAACGATCACCTCTTCTCTAAAATCTGCTGTAAAACGATCGAATGTGAGCATCTCGCATTGAACTTAGCGCCGTGACCTTGAAACTCCTTAAACGCTTCTGATTGACTCGTCCATAAATTAGAGTCCTACCGATATACCTATCCACATATCTCGAGGTGAAAAACTTTCCGGCTAACTCTATCGATATACATGTTCCTGACATAGAATGTCATCAAGAGGTGTATTGCACTAGCGAATGTTGTTTTCCTAGATAATTTTGATCATATTAAAATTCACTGTGTGCTATTTTATAAAATGACTGCATCACATATCATTCATCAAGATTGTCAGGTACTCATTATTCATCTTTATGATCAGCCATAGGCAACCTAAGATCTTTAGTGTGAGTACCAACATAAGTCAACACACTGCATATCAACACTGTAAATAACACAAAAGCAAACCACTCGATCATAACGAGAATAGGGCTTGGGACAAAGCTGTCCTAGCCCAAAATAATGACTAGAACTGTCGATAATTGAAAAAGATAAATATAGGGAGTGTAGTTTCAGAGAAATTAGTAAAATGATAAATTGAATGATAAATAATATCCACACCGCCAGAAGTGATTTTTATTCTTGTTACCTGAGCTCTTTAACTTCAGGTTAGGATTATCACATGACATCCAACTAGGAAGTATCGCTCTTGACATAGTTCAAGTTGAAAATCGCTGACTTCGTGAACTAAAGACGACTTATGTCTGCAAATCCTAGCTTTTCTGTGCCTACTTCTATCATACCCAGCCACTTGTCGCCTTATTATTTGTACTTAGGACCTTGTGACCTCAGAATTATTCGAGATTTAGTCTACCTAGAAGTCTAATCAACATAAGTCAGATGATCACTCGTTAATGCAAGTTCTCAATTTCCAGAAATTAAAATAGATCCAATCTGTATATAGCTTGTTCGTACAAAGTTACTTGTATGTTTTGATAGTAAAGTGTTGCAGTCAAAAGAAGCACTGTAGGTACTTGATAACTGGAAACCACTATTTTTTTGACATAAATAAGAACGTAAAAACATCCAGATAAAAATTTGTTTCTTATTCGAAAACACTGACAGTCGTTGTAACGGTAGATGACTGATATTAACCACTCAAACCTTAGAGTCGCACGAATTAAACCAAAACACAAAGACGTTAAATATTTATTTAACACAAACAAATAAAACATGTCCAAATACACTAAATTTTATACGATCTACACTAATTACCAGTCAAGTTTGTTTACATTAAACTAACTTTAAGAAATCTATAAGTTTCTTTATATACGCATTTACAATATCATAAAATTAAACGTCTACAACCATTATATGTAACTTGTGCTCATTTACGCTTGTTACTCCTCGGGGAGGAGCATAAGCCGCCTACCATCCCTGTCCTGGGCAATCATTTACAGTTGCTTTTCATCCATTTCATGTCTGCTTCCGATTCCTGATGTAGTATGTCCTTCGGCCTTTTCCTTTTCACTTCAAGATTCCAAGTTAGCGCTTGCCTCGTGATGCAGTTTAGTAATTTCCGTAATATATATCTTTTCCACTTCCAACTTTAACTACTTTCCTCTTCATCTGCAAGCTGGTTTGTTCTCTCCCACAGTAGGCTGTTACTGATGGTATCCGGCCAAAGGATGTTGAGTATCTTGCGTAGAAAACAATTTATAAATACTTGTACCTTCTTGATGATGGTTGTAGTAGTCCTCCAAGTTTTTGCTCCATACAGTAGGACTGTCTTAAAGTTCGTATCGAAGATTCTGTCTTTGATGTTGGTGGGCAGTTGTTTTGATATGCAGTTTATACTATGTAATTACCCCTTCTTAACATTTAATTACATTTTTAAGACTTGTAGAAAAATCTGTTTCATACATCCTCACTAAGTAAGGAAAAATAAGTTGATTAGTTTGCCAGGTAGTTTTATTTATTTATTTATTTGAACACATAAATATTGGTATAAGAGGGCACCAAATATATATGTGCCAGGTAGTTAGTTATTAGCGACACTAAATTCAAGAGCTGGCGATACTATCTGATTGCCAAAATCAACATGCGGCGCGTATACAGTCACTGCCAAGGAAGTCCTATTCACTGCCCTCTCGTGGCGGTGGTGTTGCGTACTACATTGAGAGGACGAAAAGCGAATGTCCGGCACTTTGACCGGGTTGATGGATGTGGACGATCCATAGATCAAGTGACTTTTGTGACGCATATGTTTTCGGTGCCCCTTTGTACCACTATTTATGTGTTCAAATAAATAATACAAATAAATACTTTTTTAACAATAGAATCTCACTGTGTATCTTTAAAAATAGTTGATTGTTTGTTCTGATTGATACGTTTTACAGGTAATGGCTTATAAATCTAGACATCATATTGAAGTAAGCTCAGTTGCACTGGTAGACTTAAAAGCAGAAATATCAAGAAGACAGATTGAAGTTAAACAAAAAGTTGAGAAACATCCAGATGGCTGTAATGTGATAAGGAATCGTTCTGCTGAATTAAAACCTGGCAAAGTATCACTGTGGAAAACTTCAAAAGAACAAATCTTAGAAGAGCGTACAAGGTTGGAATCTGAAAACATACCCTCCGATGCTGAAGAGTATGCAGAATGGGAAAAAAGTAGAAGAGCATTAGAAGCTAAAGCAAAACTCTACGATGCTCTACGAGAAGCCGCAATGTCTGGAAAGAAACCTAATTTGACAAAGAGAGATGAAAATGATGGAGACATTCTGGTTGATTTTGAACAAAAAGCCACAGAAAATTTAAATTTAGTTCCTCCGGATTCTCCTACGCGTTCTTGCTCTTCTTTTAGTAGCGATGAAGACTCTGATGATTATCCCGCTGGTTGTAGTGATGAAGAATGGGAGGATTACACAGATGAACGTGGTGTCAAACGAGTTTGTATGCGCAAAGACCTGTCTAGTCACATCAAGCAGTCTAGTCCACCTAAACCAGATGGTCCACTCACATATGCACATTTGAGAGAAGGAGAAATACGCGATCATGGTGTTGGATTCTATTCTTTTTCTACAGATCTTGAACAGAGAGAGGCTGAAATGAATCGCTTACGAGAACTTCATCGGGCTACTGAAGAAGGACGTGCTCGAGCTGAAGCGATTCGAGCGAAAAGAGATGCTAAAATGGGTCAACGTCTTGCACGCTTGCGTGCCCGTAAAGGTTTACCAGATGTAGCAACTGCTGCTGCACAGTGTCTGGGAGAGGCTGCAGTTCCTGCAACACCTACTCCAATAGGTGCAGATGCCCAATCTGATATTCGTCTGAGTAACGATGATCTAGATGTTGCGTCTATGTTGCGTAGATTACGCGATGAAGCTGAACATAGAGCTGCTATCAATAATAGTAAATTGAGTGAATCGATAAACAGTATCCCTCCTGAGCCTGAGCCTGAACATAGAACAAATTTAGCTGATGTGCTAGCATCTCAAAATCCAAGCCGTCCATCCTACGGTAGTAAACAAAGAGAATGGGATAAAGGAAAGTCAATGATTTCAGCACAGCGTTACATTCAAGAAGAACGTGATAAGCGAATTGCAGACTTTGCCCCTCCATCTCACTATTAAAATTTTTTTTTTTTGTATATATCTTTTTAGCAGTGAAATATCAAACTTTACCTATCACCTATTGTTTTTACAAAAAGTTCGTCTGTATTTGTATGAATGATATTTTAACTTCAACAGACATCATTTTGTGATACATAATCTACCAAACATCTAAATCATTGTGCTATATTGGCTAGCTTAGACTATAGTTAAAAAAGGCTGTTAGTCTCCAGATCATTGAAGGATGTTAGTTATTAAAGTCACCAATACATCGATATAAACTGTAGCGAGGTCCATGTTTATTGATTGAGATTCGCGAGATAACAGTCGGTCGTAATTGCGTTGACGTATCCGCTACAAAGCCTATCTCAGGTCGAGGCACGGCGGATACAGTTGTCATTTTGAGAGATATCATCCTAAATTGTACATTACCTTCTAACGGATAAGAACAGGATGAACTCCTGTTAGGTATCTGGTGGAAGTTTATGTAATCTGAAAATGGGGTTTTCAATAGTGAACTGAAATAATAACGTCAAAATAATGTTTAAAAGAAAACCAACTAAACAAGACTAAGCAGCTGTTTTACTCCCAATTTAAAATTCTCATTGTTGTTCAGTCCTCACATCCTCGTATTTTCGCGATACAAAAGGCGCAATACTGTTTAGTTGCTGAGTTATGTAATATAGTAGTTTAGAATTTACAACTTCACTCATAATATAGTACGATAAACATCAAATGTTACCAGTAACTGGTAACCCTCACTGTCTATGATTCTGTATGCATGTCTGGTTACCAGTGCAATTTACCAAGGATTATTGAACCAAAATAACGTGGTTGTCCCGTATTTTTCCTGCTTTTCGGTAATTCTCTAGTTGACATAAGTCAGTGATTATAGATTGCCTTCAGATATGAATTTTTACGCTCACTGGTGAGAGAGTTATTTCCCGGAGTTCTAGTGAGAAGGCATGATCAGTGAGGGCAGTTATCTGCCATTGGAAGATATTTTCTCAGTAATGCAAATTGATTTATGTAAGAAATGTAAACCATTGTTTATCACCAGCTCAGTGGTATAAAGGTTAAATAGGTTTATCACCGTAGTTGAGACGACCATTTTATTCTTTTATCTCGATCAAATAAACTTCAGGAATTGAAAAAATGTTAGGATTGTCTTGATGAGCACTCATTTGCTGGATACCGGTTCATATACTTGACTTCAATCCACATTTTAAGCATAAAGGATATTGATAATACCCGGTCTTTTAGCCACTAAGTCCCAAGTTCAAACACCACTCCACCTACTTCAATTTGACTTTCTGAGAGGTATCATTAGCCTATTGCGGCTAATACTCAAGTACCTAGTGAGTTAACAAAGTCAAATCAACTACCCGGACATCCGATCCAGAATAGACGGAGTGAAGCTCAAACCCACGATTTAGTATTTGGAAACTGAATACTTTAATCACTGAACTACTACTCATCTTAATTATTTGTTACTTGAATTCCAATTTCAACGTTACATTGTAATCACCCCGTATATCACATGAATTCTTGGAAAAAGATTTCCCATCTTGAAGTTTATTTTAATATTATCTACATTTTCGTATTGGATATTACATCAATATAGAAGTGTTTTAAAATTAAAATACAAAATTATTAGAAATCCATGACTTTAGTGAGCTCCTAGTAGAAGAATATCTAGAAGTTAATCTTATGTTACCGTCGCGAATTAATTTTTTTTTAATGTTCCCAAGTATGAATGTTTGTTACACCACTGATTCTCTTAAATTATTTCACACACAGGAGCCACTATCTGATCAGATGTCTTGTTCTATGGGTCATCTTGTTAGTAATGATGATGAAATACATCCGGAGAAATTCCCGTCGATTTCCTCAACTAAGGTTCTTACTCCTATTGAAGGTTCAAATGAAACTTTTCGTCAAAGGCAATCAGACGTTTTTTCTGCACTAGCTAGCCTAGAAGCAGCTCATCTTGAAGTGTACAAGGCTACAAAAGAAGAACGTAAAGCTGTGCGTAAAGCAGCTTGGCGCCATACAATTACTGCCCCAGAAAATTTAGCAGAGTTGAAAGAACGTGTAAGTGTTTTACATTTTCGCGTTTTAGATTTTTTTTGTTTGGTGTTATTTGAAAAGTGTGTTCAATTATATCCCTACTTAGCCTAAAATTCTTTGATCGACTGATAACCAAACCCATCACCTACCTCGACACACAATATCTAATGACTCAGGAGCGAATTAGAAGAAAGCTATTCTGGTTAGCATTTTTTTAGCAAGCTTTACCACGGGATGGAGATGCTGACCCCACGCCCGACCCTCCTCCTTTACCCGGGCAGTAGCCCTAGAAGAGCTACAGGCGGAGTTTGGAAGAAATCTAGAACATATAAAAACAAGATGTGGCATTAGTCCATAAGGCAACTGATTTTATGGTATACATGTCAGCATGGTGGTTTAGATTCTCCATGAAAATTTAATTCTTACGTTTGGAGTCTGACTTTTTGAGATAATCCCAATCAATCAAGTAGTATAAACTAAACTAAGAGATTCCGCTGCATGTTTGTCGTCTGAAAATTTCCTGAAACTCGCAAAGGACATTAATAATAGGTAGAAAAGCCTTGTCATCTGAGGGTGCTGGGACATATGTTGTGCATGCTCTACTTCTGGCTACCTTGATGTGCGATGATAGATTAAAGTAGGAATAGGTTTGAGAAAAGTTATTGTCAAACCAAAGAAGCACCAGTCTGTTTAGTTATTGAATTGTTGATCTAAGTGGTAGGCACGTAATTAGAGCCAGTGAAATAATTGTAACCAATTTCTTGGGACTGGCTGTGTTCCATAGCGCATAACCCACTGCACATAGTAGACAGATTGATTTCTTGTCTTCTAAATCTTGAGTTTAGTGTCTTTCCATACTCTCCTCTGTTTTGTCTCTCATTGCTGACGAGATTAACTCAATTCTTATCCTGTGCGTGTTGTTAACTTCATGTCGTCGTGCTAATAGGAACGTGGATTAATGTAAATTTGTTGTCAACTGTGTTGATTGTGACTAACTCCATAATATACGATGAAACAACAATGTAGAGTTTTGAACTTCACAAACGTTCGTCTGTGTAGTTGTGTTTTGCAATAATTTATGTTCCTAAACTGAACAGAAACCATAATTTTAGCTGACGAATTAAAACATTAGCAAGTTCTCATTAATGCTCGTTTGGCTGAGGAACGTTACATTTTGAGTTGTAAAATCACTGACTGTCATTACCCCTTTTTCGATTGCCATCGGACCAAGGCCAGTTCGTGATGCAAACTATAAAATCAAACAAGACTCACACCCTAACACTAATTGTAATTATGTACTCACCGCTAGTGATTGATTTCAAGAGGCACTCGGAGTGTTAGTGAGGAACCATCACCTATGGAGTTCAACTATATATCAAGTTTGAGGCAGTTACGCACTATCGCAGAATTATTAAATTAAGATATGTGAAACATCTGATCCCAACTTATTTTTTGAAGGTTAATTATTTGCCATGAGACCCGGATATTCTGAATTCGATCCCTGATGAATTTGTAGATACGCAGTGCTGAGGATTAAACATCCATCTGGTACCTTTTGGTTTTCAATGGTTGTTTGACTAAAATTAGTGAACAATGAAAAATTACTTGATGTTGATATTTAATTTTATTATTTAGTTATAGTCGTTTTAGACAAATATGAAGTGTATAAAATGCATAATTATTTCAGCTGTGTAACCTTCTATCCGATGTGTCAATAAAAAGCCAGGCCATTCATACAATGTTTTTGTTGAATCATTAATCGGTCAAGTGCTAATTGCGATCAAATATCTTGTGTTAAAATACAATAAGCTTTGGAATATATCTATTTGAATGAATACTGCTTGGGTTTGGTTGTTGTATAGTAACGAACTAGATTTTACTGTTTAATCCACAGATAATTTTTTGATATTTGTAAATGTTTTCTCTCTCCTTTAAGCTATATTTTATTTTTAGCGCGATCATGTTCAAACAGCTAGTGGTAAAGAGCATGGAACATGTCAGACACAAAATCCAACTTTTCGAAAACCTAACGCCCTCCCACCATCAACACATCGCCGACCAAACTATGTACATCGAGATCCTAGTAAATGGACACATTATAGTTTAGCTGATGTTAATGAAGATCCTGATGTTAGTAATAACTCACTCGCTATGGCTTTAATAAATGAACTCCGACAATCTCGAGACAGCACAGAAACTGTACAAAATGATGAGGTCGGCTCAACAAACCCACGTCATAACAATCGAATATTGTTTCGTCCAACACGAGGTAGAAAACGGGCGCGTCTCACTGAAGACAATCTACAAAAACCCGAAGTGCGTCTAGAGAGTTGTTTTTACACGCCAGATACAGATGAACCACAAAGTTCCACCGATGATTCAGTACCTTCGTCTCATCGTAGTGAAAGTTCGTGCGCTCCTGTGGCAGTCTTTGTGAATCGACGGCACAAAGGTCAGATACGTAATCGACAATTAGATAACCCAGCAGATAGTGATCACCAGTCATTTGATGATCAACCGGTAAATACTGTTGTAGTCAACTCAGATTATGATGATAAAATTGATCAAGACCTTGATATGGATTCTGATGAGTTAGAAGAAGATCCGGAAGAAGATAAGACAAATGACTACTTAGCTTAATTTGTGACATGTATTTAATTTGTTTTCGTTATCCTTTTGTTTGCATAAAAACAATATTGTAATTAAACAAATTAAATATATCTTGTACAGATTTTTTGTTCATCAACTTCACAATGTTGGTCTTTTATTCACCACAGTAAAGTCAACCAAACAGTTGTTTTGATCTTTCAAATAATGTTTATCGGTAATACGATTACACAACTCCGTGGGATTTAAGTGTAATTTATCTAGACAATCTAAGCTACAATTTGTCAGTGAGCGAAGAGACAACCGAACGCATCACATATGATGGGCTAATCTAATAATAGTATTAGTCATTGGGTAGTGGCCAATGTTATGTTTGTCTAATCCAATAGTGCTAATTAAATCCTATTGAACAAGTTGTTGTGTTGATGCACTAATCTGATGCAACATTGCGTGAAACACACTGATGTTTGGGCGCGGCAAAAATGACTCGCTGGTAACATTTATTGATTGTAGAACTTCGTGACCCGTGTACAGATCTCACTGGGAGAATCAGTTCGTGTGAAATTAAAGATATGCTTTTCCGACGAGTGCCAACTGGTATGGAATATAAACTAAGCAGTTTCCTACCGACTACATTCAACCACTTGACAGGACAGACTTTTTCCTACTCTGATTTTTTAATATCAGTACACTTTTGTGTTATTGATATCTAAGTTTTTATTAAACATTCGAGCGAGTGTGTCTATTCTCATGTTATGTACCAATGTTCCCACGATGCAGAATATTTTGACTGGGACTATCTTATCAGCAATAATGAATGAACTTTTGCGGTAATAGAAAAAGCTTATTGAGTTGCTATTGGGTAAATATGACAACAATCGAAAACTAACGCTTGAAATTCTATCCCGTAATTGTGTTATTTTTGAGGTTAAAGCCAAATTTGACATTTGATTTAAGGTGGAATTGTTTCAGTTGCTCAACGTTTGAAAAGTAGATAATAAGAATTTCATTAATGTGTAGTTTGTAAACATTAATTGGAGGTATGATATGTGGTAAACATTGTTATATTTGGTGTCAGTTGGAAATTTGATAGGCACTCAATGATAATACACAAAACCGTATGAACTTACTGATGGTTTTGCCAATCATTTCAATTCTCAAACTGAAAAACATGTCACCCAAAAGCCATAATCAAATGTCATAATTTTTTATTAAGGTCAATCAAGAAAACTCTAAAAAGCACATCATTGCATCAGTCTAAACTACATTATCCATATGATGATCATAGACCGGTCTGTATTACGGCATTTGCTAAAGTGTTAACCCTATAAGCGATGATCGAAACGCAAACAAACTCCATTTGAGGATATGTTAACTATTACATACACAATATGTTTAATTGACGGTATAAAGAGTATCACTAGACGACATGGTCAGTAACTCAACTAATTACTGAAGAATAGAAAGTAATTTTGTATGTAATGATTGGATGAAACAAAATAATGGTGCATCAAATTGATTTACTGAAACTTGGAATGAATGGCACAGTGATGAGTGGAAAGTTAGATATGATAAAACTGGAGAATGAATTGGTGATAGACAAGTTAGGGAAAAAATTTTCACATCACTACCACTTAATCAATGTCTTATTACAGAGCCACCGCTCTACTGCATACATACGATCAAAACAATAAGTTACGCTATGATCCAACTCGATACATTATTGTAAGTAAATAGCAAATAATTATTAACTAATTT